AGGTTTTGAAAAATACTTCAAATTCACCATAGCTCCCCGTCGCCATCTAGTGTCCTGTATGTGTATTGCACTTTATTGCAGCTGAGTCCTCAGTGTGCAAAAAGCCAGTGTCATGCTAGCTAGGGGGTCATTGGGAAAGGAATTGAAAACAAAAGTGCCAATGTCATTATACAAATCTATGGGGCGACCCCATTTGCAATGGTGTGTACTGTTACGGTTCAGAAAAGGGCAAGCGAAATTATTGGGGGGGGGAGGAGGATGGAGAGACCCCCACGATGAGGAACGGTTGCAGCTTCTTCTTCTTTTTAGCATAGAGAAAAGGGAGTAAATGGTCTGATCTTAGGCTTTTATTGAGAGGTTTTTGGGTCTTCTTCTTTGGTGATCGCTCATAGCCAAGTAAGATGGTCTTCCATAAACACAGTTTTTAAAGTGTTTTGGAGGCCAGTTCTGGATCCCCACGTCCTTACACAGTGGGGACATTGATTTCCGGGCGGGAGTTGATCACAGTGTGGATTTGCCAAGCCTACCTTCCTCTTAGCACGTTTCTCCCTTGCGTCCTGAGTTCGAGAGTCTTCAAAGCCCACGACACCTTTGGTAAAGGTTCTCCAACTGGGGCACTCGCAGGCTAGTGTTTCCCAGTTGTCGGTGTTTATACAACATTTTTTTAGATTTGCCTTGCGACAGTCTTTAAACCTCCTTTGTTGACCACCAGCATTACGCTTTCCATTTTTAAGTTCCTTCCCGGGCATGGTGCCTGGAGGACCCCAGGTTAGTGATGGCTGCTTTGTCAGCTGTTAGGTCCAAGTCCAGTTTAAATATAAATAACCTTAAGAGGGGAAGAAATGGAGGCAGTGAGAGATTTGACTTTCTTGGGCTGCATGATCACTGCAGATGGTGACAGCAGTCACAAACTTAAAAGACGCCTGCTTCTTGGGAGGAAAGCAATGAAAAACCTAGACAGCATCTTAAAAAGTAGAGACATCACCTTGCCAACAAAGGTCCGTATAGTTAAAGCTATGGTTTTCCCAGTAGTGATGTATGGAAGTGAGAGCTGGACCATCAAGAAGGCTGATCGCCGAAGAATTGATGCTTTTGAATTCTGGTGCTGGAGGAGACTCTTGAGAGTCCCATGGACTGCAAGAAGATCAAACCTCTCCATTCTGAAGGAAATCAGCCCTGAGTGCTCACTGGAAGGACAGATCCTGAAGCTGAGGCTCCAAGACTTTGGCCACCTCATGAGAAGAGAAGACTCCATGGAAAAGACCCTGATGCTGGGAAAGATGGAGGGCGCAAGGAGAAGGGAACGACAGAGGACGAGATGGTGGGACAGTGTTCTCGAAGCTACCAGCATGAGTTTGACCAAACTGCGGGAGGCAGCGGAAGACAGGAGGGCCTGGCGTGCTCTGGTCCAGGGGGTCACAAAGAGGCAGACATGACTAAACGACTAAACAACAACATGGGAGAATAGCAAGGGGGTTGTGTGAATGAGAGCTTGGCATTGCCCACCCCCTGTTGGCATCCGAACAACAGACGGAGTTCGCCTGCTCCCTCTCCCCCCCCCCCACTGCAGTGAGATGCATTGTGTTCCTACTTAATTATAGTAATTATTCCTAAATTTTGTGTGTACACATACAAATCAGCACGTGCAAATTTAATGTCTTCTTTGTGTGTGTGTGCTTGTGTGTGACACATTTTCTCTTTTTCCTTTCGGGAGCGCATAAAGATTTGACCAGCGGATGCTTTATTCCTGACCTTTCAGTAGCGACAATATCACAATCCGTTTTATTTTTCTTTCCTGGTTTTTCGGCTAAGCTCGAAATCTGTAATCTCAGCTAACTGCGTTTATGAGTATTCTCCTAGCGGTGATCTCTCTCCTGCCCCACTGAAAATAGGGTAGCAAATGTAACTGAAACCAGCTCTTCCAAAACATAAACGATAGAAAGTTGGTGGTTTGACTATCTATCTATCTATCTATCTATCTATCTATCTATCTATCTATCTCTATCTATCTATCTATCTATCTATCTATCTATCTATCTATCTATCTATCTATCTACAGTATCTATCTATCTATTCGATTTGACCAGAGGCTTTGTGTGGCTGCTATTATATTCTCTAAACTCCATAGTGCCAAGGAAACATAATATAACTCCA